AAATAAATTAAATTGAGACTAGAAAAAATAATATAAAAGATCAATGAAATGAAAAGTTGTTTTTTTGAAAAGGTAAACAAAATCAACAAACCTTTGCCTAAGGTAAGAAAAAGGGAGAAAAGACCCAAATAAATAACAGCAGAGATGAAAAAGGATACATAGCAACTGAGACCTCAGTAATACAAAGAATCATTAGAGATTATTATGAACAACTAAATACCAACAAATTGGAAAGCCTAGAAGAAATGGATAAATTTCTGGACACATACAACCTACCAAAATTGAACCATGAGGAAATAGAAAACCTCAATAAAACAATCATGAGTAATAAAATCAAAGATATAATAAAAAGTCTCCCATCAAAGAAAAGCCTAGGATCTCATGCCTTTACTGCTAAATTCTGCTAAACGTTTAAAGAACTAATACCAACTCTACTCAAACTCTTCAAAAACATTAAAGAGGAAGGAATATTTCCAAACTCATTCTATAGGACCAACATTACTCTGATACCAAAACCAGACAAGGACACAATGAAAAAAAGGAAAGTACAAGCCAATATCAATGATGAACATAGATATAAAAATCCCTAACAAAATACTAGCAAAATGAATTCAATGACATATTGAAAAGATCATTTACCATGATGAAATAATATTTGTCTCAGGGATAAAAGAGTGGTTCAAAATAAGCAAATCAATTAATGTGATATATCATATGAACAGAACCAAGAACAAAACCAGAAGATTATTTCAATAGATGCTAAGAAAACATTTAATACAATTCAACATCCATTTATGATACAAGCCCTCATCAAACTGGGTGTAGAAGGGACATACTTCAAAAGAGTAAGGGCCATATATGACAAACTCACAGCTAACATCATACTGAACAGAGAAAAACTGAATGCCTTTCCTCTAAGATCTGGAGCAAGACAAGGGTGTCCACTTCTACCACTTTTATTCAATATATATTCAATCCATGCTCATGAATTGGAAGAATTATCAATAATATCATTAAAATGACAATACTACCCAAAGAAATTTACAGATTCAATGTAATCCCTATCAAAACACCACTGACATTCTTCATAGAAGCAGAAATAAACTTCTAAGACTTGTGGTAGCCACAAGCTGTTCATGGTGCAACTTCAGCTGTCTGTCTAACCACTCCCCCTGATTCATCATCCCAATCTTCTTGCAGGGATAATTATTCTGCCTGCCCAGAGTACAATACAGCATGGGCCATAGATTCACACTGCCTTGAGTTTGAACCCCAGCTCTGCTCTTAGAATCATAGGACTTAGCTCTCTGAGCATGTTTCTCCACTTGTAAGATGGAGTTAATCTCATCTTGTAGGATAACTGTGAGAATTAAATGGTATAAAATACAAGCCAATGTGAAGTGCAGACCAGGAGGCCTGGCCCACTGTGGACACTTAGTGATTGATAGCTCATGTATTATCATCTTGGCAGCTAGCCTGCCATAGTGACAAGTTGACAGTTATCTTTATTTTATTCCTGTTTTTCCCCATCTGACTTTCCCTCATCTAGCTCAGCTCAGATCAGCCCACAAGTGCTGATAGTCCAGTCTAGTCATCTTCTTGCCTGAGCCAGTTTGGGTTCAGCCTTGCTGGGGAGGTGGTAGCCTCATGCCTGGGCCACATCTGACATAGCACAACAATAACTCTTTATTGTACTGATGTGTTTATTTGCCCCGCTACCTACTAGGTGGCAAGGCATATTGAGGACAGGGACTGAGTTTCATTTGTCTTTGCATATGCTTTATTTATTCATTCACTTAATGAATGAATTCATTCATTTAACAAATTATCATTGAACATGTACTCTATTTTAGGCCCTGGGGACATAGCAGTGAGCAAGATTGGCAAAGTTCTTACACTCGTTGAACTTATGGTCTAGTGGGAAAATAATCCTTAGTCAAACAATCACAAAATAAATGTTAAAATTACAACCAGCACAGCATCTTTTTTGGGTAGTTGCTCCATAGACGTTTGGTGATTCAGTGAATAGACACAGAATCTTGAACAGATAAAACTACTATCTCCTTGGATGTGAAAGTCACATGACTAGCCTGATAGCAGATGATGTCAGTGTGGGAGAGAGAACCCTGCCTTAGGATCCTCCAGAGATCCTGGTTCCCCACTCTTAGCCCCAGAGCCTTCTCAATCTGAACCTCCCGAGTGCGGGGCCTGGGAATCCGTATGTGTAACAAGGCATCCTGGGGCATTCTCATGCCACTGGAGTTTGTGAACCACTGTCTATAGATATTAATAGTAGGGACACAATAATCACTTAAACACAGACCTTAATGAATGGAAGAATCATTAGCTGTACTTAAGTCTCCCCTAGGAAAGTGCCTTTGTCCTGGTGGACCTAGGTGTGGAGGTAACTTTGAGGTCTGCTTCGTTTACCACTTCCTTAATTGCCTGCTCATCACTGAACACTGGCAGTTAGTGAGTTGTCAGATATTCCTTTTAGCACAAACATTCTATGGTTTGGCACACATTGAGGCTCTCACACCGGAATCAGACTGACCCAATACCAAACCACATGCCTTCATTAAAAGCTGCCACTTCTGTGGAATGTTGGCTCAGGGAGCAGACTGCTTTGATTTCAATCCCGCATCTGCTACTTTCTATCTGAGACTCTGGGCAAATAAATTCTCTCTATGCCTCAGTTTCCTTATACATAAAATGGAGATAATAATAATACTTGGAAGATGATTGTGAGGATTAAATGGAATGATACAAGTGACTTACTTGTCAGGGTGCCTGACGTATCAGAAACTTTCAGTGGAGACCACTTGTCAACACTGGTTAATGAAGATGTGTTCTATGGAAGGCCTTTAGTTGTTAGTGTGTTATGGTCACTGGACCAGCACACTGCAGGATTTTCAACTACTGCCTTTCTCTATGCATTTTTCAAAAATGAACTAAAATAGTGTTCTTAGATAATAAGCATTTGTGATTTTATCTTTTTATGGAGAATTTGGATGGATTTGCTCTGATTTCCAACCTGAAATACTCTTGGAAAATATTTGTGTTATTTTTACTCTGTTGGATTTTAACATTGGTTTTAAAAACAACATCTGGAGATGGGTGATTGTGATGGTTGCACAATAATGTGAGTATCCTTAATACCACAAAACTGTATACTTAAAAATAATTAAAATGGTAAATTTTATGTTATGTATTAATATATATTACCACTATTAAGAAAACTGGTTTGTATTAAAGATCTAGTAACTCTAGTTAAAAAAAAGAAGGGAAGAAAATGATCTCTAAATATTTATAGGTCCTGCTAACATCTGTGTAGCTAACCTGGTTTGTTTATAGAGTACTAGAGTTACATTCAAAGGGATAAGCTTTGTTTATAAATACAAACTCACTGAGATAGACTGATGAGACTGTTGAAGTTACCATTAAAACTACAGGAACTTTTAAGAAAGTTTTTTAAGAACCGGTATATCTGAAGGGACCACCAGAAGTTAATGATTACACTGTTGCCTGTGTTACTTGGTGTCTCAGTCTATTTTGTGCCACTAAAATAGAATACCACAGACTGGGTGATTTATAAAGAACAGAAATTAATTTTCTCACAGTTCTGGACGTTGGGAAGTCCAAGATCAAGGTTCTAGCATCTGGTGTCTGGTAACGGCCTGATCTCTGCTTCCAAGATGGTGCCTCGAATTCTGTGTTCTCTGGAGGGGAGGAACACTGTTTCTTACATGGTAGAAGTATAGAAGATGGTGAACCCACCCTCAAAAGCCCATTTTATCACAGCATTAATCCAGTCATGAAGGCAGAGCCCTCGTGACCTAAACATCTCCCATGAGGCCCCACCTCCTGACACTGTTGCATTGGTGATTATGTTTTCAGCACATGAGTTTTGGGTAGAAAAACATTCAAACCATAGCACCTGGCTTATGGGGTTTTTTGTTGGTGTTAGGAGGCATAGAATAACCCCCAATGATACTACTACTTTTTATTAGACTATGAATATTAACCTCTTGTAGGCCTGGAAGGAATTTAGAAATCATATAGTTAGTTCTAACCATTCTCATTCATTCATTTGGTTCAATAATTATCTGTTGAATTCCTTATCTGTGCTTAATATATAGTAGGATATACCATAGTGAATACTGGATATACATGGTAAGCAAAGTAGACCTGCACTCAGGTAGCTTACAATCTAATAGGAAAGACAAACATTAATCAAATACCCACAAAATATGTAATTATAGTATGTGGTCAGTGCTGTCTTTAGAGGAAACATACAGGCATTCTGATCAGGGGAATAGGCTCTAATTGAAGGAGGTTAGGAAGGCTGGGATGTCAAGTGAAAGGCTTTCTGGGCACAGGTCCCAGAACAGAATCCATGTAGCCTGTGGGTAACTGTAGGCAGGCCAGTTCCATGGCATGTATTTTCTGAATGATGAAACTCAGAGGAGAAGGTTAAACGTCCTACTTCTGCAGAACCAGGAAGCAAGCCATCTGACACTCCAGTTTTCTCTTTCCACATCTAAGGTGACTTACTCAGAAGCCTGAAACTATGACACTTGTGCAGGTAGAATTATTTCCATCCTAAGAAGGAGGGGTCTTTCATGTCTCCATGTTGCCTTCAGGCTCAATGAGCTCAGGGTCTGTTACTGCCTACATTTCCAGGTCTTCACCAGGGCCCCTGCAATGGTGTTTCTGTGAACCAAGCAAGATCTTGTCTGCTGTTCCTCTTTCAAGACCACAGCTTCTGTTCATGCAGCCTAGCTTATGAAGATCAGTTATGATCACTAAAACCATGTGCATGATAAAAAGCTAGCTTAGGACAAAATTGTATGCACAGTAAGATTACAACTATATAAAAATACTATGCATTTTTAAAAGAACAGAAAGAAATAAAAATAACTGATATCTAGTTGGTGGAATCTTAAATGTCATTTTTCCTTTTTCAAGGTGATATTTAATAAAATTTTAAATTTCTCTTAAAGTAGAAAAGAAGATTGAAGTAATAATATTAAGGAAGTGTCATATTTCTTCCTTACCATCCATATCTTGGATTTTTTTCTTTAATATGAAGGACATACTCATAAGGGCTTTTGGAAATGTTTTAAATATGAGCTACAGAGAAATGTTGGGTTTCTCCACTGCCAGACTTCTCTGAAGCATTCACTAGCTAATGGGTTTGTGAGCCCAGAAGCACAAGCATTCCCAAAACTTCTGGGAAGCTTAATTTGCCAAGATCTTTGCAGGCCTTGTGCTCTCTGGAACATGCATTGGAAAATGCTGCTGTGGTGGAAAGAGAACAGAAGGTGCTGGCTACCTGGGCTCTGATGAACATTGGAACAAAGAAAGGCAAACTCCTAAAATGCTCAAACTGAGAACTTGAGGACAATCAAGCTTTTTCTGTCTCTCAAGCAGCAAGCAATGCCAGTTTTTATTCTGCAAACCATTTGGAAGACAGTTCAACAGGTTAGCATTCTAGTGTACTGTATACATAAAGTGAAATGTCTTCAATTCTTGTGTTAAAATATACTCTACCTCTTTCTCAAACATTTGCCACACGAAATGTATTAATAGTAAAAGCTTTTGTTTCTCAACTACCTCACTGTGCAAGGCCTTAGAGAAACAATCTTACAGAAGCAAGGCTGGTTCCTTGGCTCTACTAGAAGAGTGACTTCTATGTTAACAAAATTAGACAGAATAGAACATCCTGATTCCAGATAAAGGCTGCTTGTTGCTGCTGCCTCACCAGCTATTATCATATGTTGTTGTGGCTGAAACATCTTCTGGCAGAAAGAATTCATGGGCTCTGCTAGGGACAACAGAATTTTCTACTCTGTAACCCCTGAGCCTCTTTCTCCATCTTGGGAGGTTTTCCCCCAAGGCCCAAAGGCCCCAGACGTCTGTTAGCATCCCTTTCTGCCTGCAATGGTCAGCACCTCAGCCATTTTTTGAATTCCTTTCACTGCAGGCCTAGCTACAGAGGAGTCTGTCCAGCTTGCTTCCTTGCTGGCCCAAATCCAGTACACAGGCCCTTTTCTTTCTGAGGGCATGACGCTAATTAGTAGAGGGAATCCCTGCTGTGTGTAACAAGGCAGAGTACACTGCAAAGGTTATGGAGGGTCAAGGATCTTCATGAAGTCTGTACAGTGATAATCCCTGATCTGTAGTGAAATGGAATTAAGTTTGACATTCAATAGGCTCTACTAGGGAGCTTTCTGGGGCTAGAAAATATTCTATATCTTGATCTTGGTAGTGCTTATATGGCTGTGCACATATGCAAAAATTCATTGAGGTATACACCTAAGAATTGCATACTTTGCTGTAGTTGTCCCTCATTTCATGTCCTTAAAAGGGGGTGCCAATCTCAAAACTGTTGCCCAGCCCTTGCTCCTATGTTTCTGTGTACAGGGAGCATAAGGTCTTGAGTCTGAGCCTGATTCAAATCCTACGTAATCATCCAGGGTGGTCTCTCGAATCCTCGTTCTTATCTTCTTTTCTCCTTGGAGGAGGTTCTTAGGTTTTTATCAGGTGACAAGATAATACGAGGGCTTACAAATATACATACATATGTGTGTGTGTGTGTGTGTATACACATACACTACCAAATTAAGTATTTTCAAGTGGCAGACCACACTTTGAGGTCCACAGCTTAAATGAGCAGCCAAATGTAACAAGAGTAGTGGGTCACATTTCAGAAGGGCCTCCTCTGCTTCTCTTCCTTTTGCTTGTCCATTTACTATCTTCTGTGTTTCTCTCTAGTATAGGGATAATAAAAAGTCCATGTGGAACCAGGCGCAGTGACTCACGGCTGTAATCCCAGTGCTTTGGGAGGCTGAGACAAGAGGATCGCTTGAAGCCAGGAGTTCAAGACAAGCCTGAGCAATATAGCAAGATCCCCATCTCAAAAAATTTAAAAATTAGCCAAGTGTGGTGGTATATACCTGTAGTCCCAGCTACTTGGGAGGCTGAGGCAGGAGGATTGCTTGATCTCAGGAATTCAAGGCTGCAGTGAGCTATGATTGTGCCACTGTACTCCAACCTGGGCAATAGAGTGAGACCCTGTCTCTTAAAAAAATAAAAGATGAGTATCAATTGATCAAAATGGGCATTTGGCATTCTACTCCTGCATAAATACCCAAAAGAAATGAGTTTATTTCCACAAAATGAAATGTACATGTATGTTTCTGGCAGCTATATTCCCAGTAACCCCAAACTGAAAACAACTCAAGTGTTCAACGGTCAAATAAATAAAAATTTAGTATATATATAATGAAATACTCTATAGCAATGGAAAGAGATGATGCATTTTCTTCTTAATAGAAGAAGAAAATTAATCCACTACTGACATGCACAGTTTGAATGCATCTTACAGACTGTGTAGAGTGAAAGAAGACATAAAGGAGGCACACTATATGAGTTCATTTATTGTAGTCAAAACCAGGCAAAACTCATCCGTGGTGATAGAAGTCAAGACAGTGGTCACCTTTGGGGGGAACTGACTGAGAAGGGGCACCAGGGAGCCTTCCAGGGCCAGAAAATATTCTTGATCTTGGTAATGGTTATAAGGATGTGTACATATGCAAAAATTCATTGAGGTGTACACCTAAGATTTGCACACTTTTCTGTAATTGTCCCTTATTTTGTGTCCTTAAAAGGGAGCACCAGTTTGAAAACTGTTGCCTAGCCCTTGCTCCTATGTTTCTGTGTATAAGGAGCATAAGGTCTTGAGTCTGACCTTGATTCAAATCTATGCTCTGTCATCTATTAGCTATGTATCTTGGATAAATTACTTAAGCTCTTTGTTCTTCAGTTTCTCACTTATATAGAAGGTACAAAAATAGTAGCTATTTTATAGCACTGTTCTAAGAAGTAAGTCAGATAATTCATATAAGGTGCTTCATACAACACCTGCCTGATAACATTTAATGCACTCATAAAATATGATATGGTGACTTTGTTCTTTTCCCTTTCTCCTCTGACCATCTAGTTCTTCCTCATGCTTTTTTCCCCTCTTCCCACTAGTTTATTCTTCCTTTCATCTCCCTCTACTTTTAAAAGCTAAAAACATGATGTTTAAGTACATATATTTTAAAATGTATTAAATACAATTTTATAGCTATATTAACAATTAAGAAGAAAGTGCACTTAGTATTTTCCATGTCTCTCTTTAAGACACATTCTACATTTCTTGAACTAAAATTAGATTATGATATTTACTATGTCTATGTGGCCCTCAATGGATTAACTCAGTGTTTCCCAACTTGTCTACACATTAGAATCACTTGGGATCTTATACAAATTCTAAAAACCAATCCACATAGCAGACCAATTAAATCACATTATCTGGGGCTATGACGCAGGCATCAGTAGCTGTTGAACCTTTCCAGGTGTTTCTAATATGATTCCAAGGTGTAGACAGGTTTGGGAACCACAGACTAATGGCTTTCTATTCCTTCCATAATGTCTCAGCCACTTTAGCACGTGGTTCTGAATCTTGGCTGCACATTAGAATCATCTAGAAAGCTTCTAAACAATGCTGCTGCTCAGGCCCACTCTAGGGCCTGAATATTTCTAACATGCAACCAGGCCCTGTTCTAGAGGGATTGGTGTCCTGGTGGATCTTGTGATCAGGGTAACTCCAGCCCCAAACCCAGTGTTCCTCTCAAATTAAAATACATTATCCTCATGTTTGTGAAAACTCCTATCCTTATCCCCTTTCTGTTGTAAGCTGAATATGGAGATGAACAATGTGATACTCGTAAGTTTTTGGTTTGTTTTGCTTTCAGTATGGGATTGTGCTGGATGCGGGCTCTTCTCACACAAGTTTATATATCTATAAATGGCCAGCAGAAAAGGAGAATGACACAGGGGTGGTGCATCAGATAGAAGAATGCAAGGTAAAAGGTAAGATGGAGAAAAGGGAAGGGTAATAGATGACATGAGAACATGAGGGTGTACGGCAAGTAGAACACAAAAGTAAAATGAGCCCCAAGCATGGGAAGCCAAGTGAAGAACACAGTGGAGCTCCTATTGTTGTTAACTTATTATCATTATAAAAATAATATTGAAATCAGTCCTTAATGATCAAGCCCTTGAAGAATAAGCACATTTAAAAATAATTGAGTAACAGTGGCTTTCATAAACAGCACTTCTGCATGCCATGCACTAAGTACTGAGCATGTGTTATTTCAGTTCATCATCACAGTTTTCCTTTGAGGTATATGTTATTATTCCCATTTTAAATGAGGCCATTGAGGTTGAGAGAGGTTATATCACTTGTTTTAAGGTTACTTGGACTAGTAAGTAATGAAGCTGGGGTTCAAACTAAGGTCTGCCCAACATCACACCCATGTCTTAGCCAGTGGTTCTCAAACTTGAAACCGTATCAGAACCACCTGGAGGGCTTGTTAAAACACAGATGCTGGGTTCCACTCCCAGAGTTTCTTAGTAGAGCTGGGATGAAGCCTGAGAATTTGCATTTCTAACCAGTTCAACGTGATGCTGATGCTGCTGGTCCAAGGAATTACTGGTCTCTTAATCCTTGCACCCTAGTCTGTAGCTTAGAAGATGTTTTTGAAAGCCTTTGACCCCTGTGTAGGCAGGAAAGACCAAATCATAGACTTTTAGGGCAGGGCAAAGGACCTTGTGGATCATTTAAATCTTGTGAGAAGGATACGAAAACCTGAAGGATTAGTGCCTTGTAAGCAGCAACAGAACCAGGACAAGAATCTAGGTCTCCTAACTGTACTCCAGGCTTCCTGCTCCTCTGAACTATGCATTACATATTGATTTTTTATTTTTAGTTATTTTTCTTTTCAGGTCACAGTACAAGTTAAAGCTGTTGACAGTTCAGCTCTCTCCACTTCTTCCACCCTGTATCCCACCATGCACCAAACATCACATTGCACCATAATCTCTTTGACCTTTATCTCTTGGATTTATGGTCCAGGAACCCACTGTTTATTTTTAGTCAGCTAGGTAACCTAGATCCCAGAAGATAATTGATTTTTAGTTTGATGGCCTGTGGAGTCCACTAATTTTTGTAGTTTGTCAAGAAAGTAGTACAGAGGAGATGTTTCCAAGGAAGCAAGCCATTCTACTTAGTAGCCTGATATCCTGAGCCTTTGGCCCCATCAATACTGAGACAGTACTTCTAGTATTCTTAAAGCCCAAATCCCTCAATTTTTGGCTTTTATTTAATTCATTGGCTTCCATTTTAAAAAGTTTTTTTTTTTGTTTTTTTTTTTTAATCTAGCAGATGTCTTTCTTCTGAGACTCATCCCATGAGCATTTGGCTTAACAAATGCAGTATCTTCCCTTCTCAAAAGAGAGTTGTCTAGTTAATCAAATATTTAACACCAGATTTTCTGAATCAAAACAGCTAGCTGATAACTTAGAGCTGATTGTCTCATGATTAAGTAAACAGGCTATTTTAAAACCTATGAATGATCTAGGTAAATTATTTGAATAATTATCTTTAAAGCAAATAGTGTTAGTATTTATCTTAATGTGAGATGAAAGTGTTGAGTGTTAACTTCAAAAAGCTTAAGGAATCTTGGCTCCAAATCCTCTCCATAGCAACAGTTAGTTTTGATCTAAAACTGGAAAAACAGTTTTACTGGGGAGACAGGGTACTGGAGTTGAAAAGTCGCTGAGGATATGTGAATTTTATTTCTGTTTCGTCTAACAAAGGAAGAAACTCCATCTCAGAAATTGTAGGGCACTGGCCATGATCACATAGCTAGTTAGTAGCAGCTGCTTCTTCCTTTTTTTTTTTTTTAGTAAAAGCCAGTGTGTCTGATGCTTTTATTTTAACTTTGGTTCTAAATGTCATATTTAATTAGTTCTTCCATAAATTAGTGTTGTTTATTAGAACTTTGTGGAAGAAACATCAAAAAGCAGTTAATAGAATAGCTATCTATAAGATCCCCATTTTAAAACTGGGAATGTTATGCAATTGTAAAATTGTGCCATCCAGTGGCAAAATTATTGAACGCCGGATAGACCCAACCTGAGGTTTGAAAATTAACCAAAGCTAGGTCCAGTGAGTTACCTTCTAATTACAATAAGCTAATATATACTACATCAGGAAATTGTTTTCTTGTGTTTTTTCAGATAATACCATATTTTGCTCTAATATTGTCAAGGTATGTTTTATACTTTTTAAAAAAAGATTGTCTCTACATCTTTCCTTAGGTCCTGGAATCTCAAAATATGTTCAGAAAATAAATGACATAGGCATTTACCTGTCTGAATGCATGGAAAAAGCCAAGGAAGTGATTCCAGAGTCCCAGCACCAAGAGACACCTGTTTACCTGGGAGCCACAGCAGGCATGCGGTTGCTCAGGTATAGCAGCATTTAGGGACTGTAAGTGTCTGGAAGTTAGGCTTGGTAGTGAAAAAGCCTCTGAAGTTATGTGATAGGGCTACGCTTCACCAATAGCCCAAATTCTACACATCCACAAAGTCCATTTCTAAGAAAGAAAATTTCAATAATTGAGTAAAACTTCCAAATTTCTAGTAGGATGTATACTATTATTGTAGGATTTTAAGTATGTAAAAAAAGATCTCTTGCCCATCTCCCCACAGGGAATTCAAGGGAGAAGGGGAACAGGGAGAGAAAGATTGATCCTATATACTCTGGGATTTGGGGTTACAGATTTAGCCATTCAATATCTAGGAGAAGGAGGATCAGGGGAGACTCATAGATGTCCTAAGACACAAATAATCACAACTAACACATCTTTATTAGCTACCACCTGGTAGCTGTGTGCATTGTTTGTTCACTTGTGCATTCGTTCATTCATTCATTCATTCCATGTATATTGAGTACTTAGTCTGTCCAAAATATGTAAATATGTGTCTCAGCCCTCAAGGAAATCAGTTTTGATACAAGGTGATCAATTCTCTAATAAAGGAGTGCTCAGAGCTGCTATGGGAGTACATTTGACCCTGCCTGGGATGAAAGGAGATCAGGAAGACTTGCCAGCGAAGGGGATACATGATCTGAATCACGAAAAATAAGTTGGGCATGGATGAAGGGCATTATTGGCAGAGCAGACAGCATGCATCGATAACCAATGTTTATTCAGCACCTCTCATTTGTCAGGCACTGTTCTAAGTGCTGAGGATACAGCAGTCAACAGGACAAAGTCGCTGACTTCGTGGAGCTTGTGTTCTAATGGATATGCAAAGGGAGGGAAGTGTGAAAGACCAGGGCATATTCAGAGAACTGTGGTAGTTTTGCATAGATAGAAAATAGGTTGAATGTTATAAAATAATAATAATAGTAATAATAATAATAGCAGTTCATATTTCTTGAGTTCTTGCTATATTCTTAGCACTGTGCTAAGAACTTAACATACATTGTTTAATTTAATCATCATAACTCTATGAAGAGATGTTATTAACTATTATTAACCTGATGTTGAAGCAGCTGTGACTTACAAATGGAAGTAACTTTCCAAAGGCCACATTTGTGCTAAGTGGTAGAGCCAGGGCTCCGAGTGGGATTCTGAGGAGATGGGGTCCAGATCACAAAGTGCCTTGTGGGCCATGCTAGGAAGTTTGGAGTTTATCTTGAAGATAGTGGGAAGCCATTATAGGACCTTACACAACTGGTGACACTAGTGGGGAAGATGGTTTTGAGGGGAGGAAAGCTAAGGATAAAAGAAAAGCGGTTCATAGGTATGGATGAGAGATTATAGGGGCCTAATGCCAGCTGGAAGGTAGCATCCTCTCACCCAGAGGCTCTCAGTGTGGCATAGACTAGATCTTGGAAGCAATTGCATCCTATGTTCATTATGACAACCCTGGAAGACTCTTTCTTTAGGTCTCAAGGTCTCAAACAGACCCAAGAAGTTCTGAAGGATAATATGAGGAAGATTTTTCCCAGTCTGGCAGCAGGGTCATTTACCACCTGGTTTCTATTAAAGCCTTAATTTAAAACTTCGAGCAGAGTCTGCTATGTAACCAGCTGGGAGCCACCAGTAACGGCTAATGTAGCACACATTTGCTCCAGGTCTGGTGATCAAATAATACCCAGCTATCACCACCACAGTAATTTTAAGAGTCTTCATAATTTTTGTTGAGCCAGAGAAGAATAGAATGAAAATGGTATTTTAGGAAAACCAACCTATGCAAGGATTGAAAAGATTTGAATTTGGAGAGAGGGGGCCAAAAGATTAGTTCTGCCTCATCCAAAAAGAGGGTTTCTCTGGCAGCCATATACAGATATCCCTTTCTCTCTGTTTATTCCAGCGTGTTATGGTCCACTTCTTAGGAGCATTGTGTGGAATCTCTAGCTGAAATGGATAGGTATAGTTATTAAAACAAAAATGATAACCTCAATTCTTCCTTTGTGTAGGATGCAAAGTGAGCAGTTGGCGGACAGGGTCCTGGGTGTGGTGACAAAGAGCCTCAGCAGCTACCCCTTTGACTTCCAGGGTGCCAGGATCATCACTGGCCAAGAGGAAGGTGCCTATGGCTGGATTACTGTCAACTATCTGCTGGGCAAATTTACTCAGGTGAATACCTCAGAGCACCCACAGAGGCGGCTCCCTAAGGGCCAATGCCATTGCTATCTCAGGAAGTATTTGGGTGACTAGCCAGAATGAATGATGGATGAATGAATGAATGAATTAATTAATTTACCCCCACATTTGTAAGCCTTACTGGAAGTGTAATTCTCTTAAACCATGTCTTCACCTTAGGAAGACACAGAGGAAATTAAAAATATATCATTAAAGTAAGAATGGCTAATATTTGCCTAGTGCTACGTGTCTTGTGCTATGCTAAGCACTTTTCATGTGCTGATTTCATTCTCGGAATAACACAGTGAGGTACTATTATTCTCATTTTAGAGCTTCAAATTGATGCCTAAAGAGTGTAATTATTCTGCCCATGGCCGCACAGCTAATGAGCAACTTAGTGGGGACTTGAACTTGAGTCCATCTGGCCCCGGTCCCCTTGCTGCAGTCTAAGCTATGTCTTTGAAGCTCTCTTTTCTTGCTGTTGATTTACTGCAGATCAGGAACCTCCAGTGAGCTTTGCCTCACTTTTATGTCCCTGCTTCTTTGCCTTAGAAAGTCCCTGAGTCCAAGAAATAATATGGAAAGCGGGATTTCCAGAGACTTCTAGCACTGGTCATTATAATCTCTTTCAGAAATCAAGTTGGTTAGACCTAATTTCTTATGAAAGCAAAGATGAGGGAACCTTTGGAGCTTTGGACCTTGGGGGAGCCTCTACGCAAATCACTTTTGTGCCCCAAAACAAGATTCCTGAGACTTCAGACAACTATCTGGAATTTCGCCTCTATGGCAAGAACTACAGCGTATACACACACAGCTTCTTGTGCTATGGGAAGGATCAAGCGCTCTGGCAGAAACTGGCCAAGGACATTCAGGCAAGTATAACCGAATCCAGACCTGCCTGCCCCACCTCTGGGCCTCCAGCCCCCACATCCTGTTGTTTTCTTTTTCTAATTCAGTAATTGGTCTGAAGTTGGTTATTGTACTTTCCAAACCTTTTCAGGCAGGATATTTAATGACATCTGGTCGACCCCTGTGAATTGTTCCATCCAGACATCACCTCTTATGTTTGTTTACTCCATTATCTCCAAGGATGTGACTTGGATCCTTGCTTAGGAAATAATTTCTCACCCTTGTGGGGATGATAATGAAGATTACATGGTAGATTGTTGTTTGGGGGGTAGATTGCAGTTTACAAGCTCTTCTAGACTTTTTAATCGTCCTTTCCTACAAACTACAGAAAACAGTTAGAAATGACCTGAAGAGGAGGAGAAAAAAAAAAGAAAAACACAAAGTTTATCTAACTTGTCCCCAGATGCTTTCTGCATTTTGAAGGCAAGAAAAGTTAAACACACTCAACATCATGCGAGTACCAGGCACACCCTGACAAATAAACACAAGCAAGGATATCACATCCAGCTGTTCCCTGTCTCCACTGAAAGGACAACCAGTTCTCTGCTCTCCTCCAAGGCACTCTCTCCAGTTCTCAAGACCATTATCAAAAAGATAATCACCATAGGAGCCATTAATCTTCTCATCCACCACAATCCCCTTTCTCTTCTTATAGGTTGTGGGTTAGAAATCCTTTTGATACTACTGGCTTAACACATTGAATGCCACACTAGAAAAAAAATTTTTTTCCCTGGGGCCATGGTGTTTTATTAAAACAAAATGATCCTTTCTAATTTGTTCTTTTTTTAAAATTGTTTTCTATGTGTGAGTTATATGCAATACAATCCACATTTTTAGAATTAAATAGTCAATATTAATTGTAACAATAAAAACAACAAGGAAGATTTTCATGAACCAACTACAGGGTTTTACTTAACGAGGCCCTGGGGTCAAAACTAGCCTGAGTTAAATACAACTCACATGGCAGTCAATGTGTTAAAGGGCCTAAAGAATCTTGGAGCTTCCGATTCTCTGACAGGAGAGGTGGTAATGTTCTAGGGGTGGTATGAAGACTCCTGGAGAACTGCCTCTAAGCCCCAAATTTAGAGAGCCTTGAAAGTTTTCCTTGTGAATCTGCTATGTGATTAGGACTAAGTGTTCAGGGTCATTCTAAGCTAACAGCATTTTGGGCCCAGCTTTAACTATATCAACATTCTATAAATAGCCAAATACATTTGCATCTGATAACACATCTGGTGCCTGTTACAAAAATCTATTTTTTTTAAACTTAATCCCAAGGGCAGAGCAGGGACATAGAGCTGGGGTGTAGTACAATGCTTACACATTGATAAAGTCAGACTGTGCTCTTTGTAGCCAAAGCATTGATACATGATGCCCTCAAGTGATTTTTTCCATTCAGGTTGCAAATAATGGAATTCTCAAGGACCCATGCTTTCACTCTGGATATGAGAGGATAGTGAATGTAAGTGACCTTTACAAGACCCCCTGCACGAAGAAATTTGAGATGACCCTTCCATTCCAGCAGTTTGAAATCCAGGGTACTGGAGACTATCAACTATGCCAGCAAAGCATCCTAGGGCTCTTCAACACCAGTTACTGCCCTTATTCCCAGTGTGCTTTCAATGGGATTTTCTTGCCACCACTCGAAGGGAATTTTGGGGTAAGTGAAATGATGATGCATATCAGTTAGGATGATTTTGTTTGCAAGTTATGGAATATGTGGCTACAAAGGATTTAAATAAAAAGATTAATTTTTCTCTCATATAATAATGTCTTATAGATAATTCAGGGTGAGTTCTTTGGCTCAACAATATCAGGATCAGCTTCTCCATTATCTTCTTGATCTTGTGGTGCTAAGATGGCAGTTACTGCTCTAAGCATCAGATCTTCACATGCAAACGCAAAGCAGGGAAGAATTTTAGAGGTTCTCTCACACACATCTCTCTCCCATTTTTTAGGAGTGCCAACAGACATCTTTCCAGATTCTCTTGGCCAAAACTTGGTGCAATACACACCTATAAACCAATCTGTGATAAGGAGAAATGAATTACATGGTTGGTTTAGACTAATCATTGTTCTCGTTGGGGGATTCTTCCTTGAGCACATTGCTTCCCTCTACCTGGGTTAAATCCATAGGCAAGGAAGGAGGGGGCTGGCTATGGGGTATTCACACATCTGAGTCTGCCACAGGTGGCTTCTCAAATGTCAGAGGAGGGGAAATAGCAATTAGATGACTGGGCTGAGAGTTTTCCTCTATGAAGACATTTAGGAGGTAGAAACTGAGGAAATCCCAAGGAAACATAAAAGATATCATCATTGTCATTACATTTTAAAGAGTTGCAGAATTATTTGAATCCCAGCTCCAAATTTCTTCTTTTCTTAATTATGCCAGAAAAAGCTAAAATATTTGAGCAGAGGCAGATGAGATACTCCTTGATCTTATTCAAATTCCGTATTTTGGTCCTGGAGACCAAGCACTATTATAATCATAGTTTAGTAGTATATTGCCAAATTAGCTACCATCTATCAAGTGTCAATTACTGACTAAGCACCATATGTACATTATCTCATTTATTCTTTCAAGATAACATTCAAAGAAACAAGGGCTTTTCACATTCTTTCTCCCTTTTCAAAAAACAGATCAGCATGTGAGGAGGGAAGTTCAACTCCCTTCTAGGACTCCAGCTCGGGAATTTCTTGCAAGGTCTCCTAGCCTAGTCCAATGTCACAGAAAGAACTCTGTGGAGGGAGTACAGGCCCCATACTCAGACCTGATTTAACTTCTGGATTACTGTAAACTGTATGAGCTCTTCCTTATCTTGGTCTCTGAGAAAACAATAATATAGTGTTGTGGATCCAGACTTGCTTTAAACATGGCCCAAGCCACACCATCCCCTCCCCTCTAGGCTCTTGAGGGAAATATTAATACAGCAGGACTATGACTGGCAGAGTAATATGTGGTTATTAGTGGACTGCAAGCCCAAATTCAGAACAAACTAGAACTTCACTTGGGTGCCCTGTAGCTAAGTTGGCACTGGCTGCTCACCTTGGGCTTTTCTGGGCTAGGGCCCTTGCTTTCAGTCAAACTTCTTGAAGAGGAAGGAGGGTGCTACAATAGGGAGGCCATCTACCAAGGACCTTTTCCATTCCAGTCACTGCTAGGAAGTAAAATATGAAGGAAAATGAACATGCCCTTGTGTGTTGTCTTTGTAACTTCTCTGAAAGCTTTGTCTACTGGGAAACATGATCCAATTCCTGCCCTCACACTTGACTAATCCCTTCCTCCTTGGGAGAATGGAATGATTTTGCCTTTGAATGTGACTCATTCAACCAAGGTAGGGAGAGATAGGAGTTGGAAAAGGGGGGGAGGGGCCTCATGCTCCCTCTGGAGGTATTTCTGTTTGGTTCCTTAGTCCCTCATTGAAATTGTTCTCACAGCCTTCTGAACCTCAATTTGGCAGTTCCCTAAATTAGCTCATTTCCTTCCTCTGAATAGGATCTTTCTCCTCTGGATACAGCCCTCAGAGTTAGCATTGCCCTGTACCTATTGCTGCTTTGGAAGTTTCTTTCTGCTTTAGATTTTTTGTTGATTCCCTCTGTAATGTTTCTTTAAAGCCTAAAGATTTTTTTCTGTCTGTTTTCTCATCTATAAAATGGGGACAGTAATACCTATCTCATTGGTAGTTAGTTGTGAGCCAGACAAGCAGTGATGGGCTGGTAAATGTCTAACAACAAGCTATCTGGGAATGGAAAGCTGATTTGTAGCATTTGCCAATTTCCATGGTATAAATATCCCCAACACAGCCTATTTCAAGCTATCAACATGGTATCAACTGACTCACAAAAATCCTGAAATTTTACCAGTCAGTTCTTGTGAATGTGTAAGAGTCAGCTCTAACACACTACTGCAAATAGCAAAAATCTAACATATTCTGGCACCAGGTGGGCCTTTAAGAAGGTTCTTTCTCCTAGTGGTCTTTATTCTGTGTGGTCCTTCATGCAGGAAGTTCCCATTTCTGAGTCCTGCCTCTTGAAGCATAACTATTTACAACACAAAAATCCAGTTGCATTCCCATTAGTTATAGTAGAACCAGTTAGCCTGGGTGTTCTCAGAGCACAGAGAATTTGTGGAGAGGGATTTTTTTTGCCATAATTGCATTCAGGACTGATGATATAATTCTTAGTCTATGAGTATAGTGTTAAAAGCCCTCATAATCTAGCTATACTGTGGCCTTGGTTGCTAGACAGAATCCAATGTTGTGGGCAAATTAGAAACACCAGTAAGAAAAGAGGGAACATCTGTAGGGAATTACTTATGAGGTAATTTAGGAATTATTTTTTAAGAACACAGTTTGCTGTTTATATAAACAAGGAAGAGTAGCAACAAAGTCAATAGGGAGTTGGAATTAAAGAACATTAAAAATATATTTGTTTATATACATAAACATGTGTGTGTGTGTGTTTGTATTTAGCTCTGAGTTTGTCAGTAGCAATAATCAGATCTATTATTTTAATTTTATCCAGCATACCAGGTCCTAGGAAAGAGCCAAGTTATTCCTAGAATTGAATCTCAAATATTTCACAAAGGAGATTTTCTTAGACAATATTTTTGAGCACATATTTTAATCTTGTGATTTCTTATAGCAGTTTTAACCCTAAAGCATAATACTACAAGCCAACTCAGTGATGGTAATTCTGTAATGGACTGAAGCAATATAAGTTTTTGATACCCAAATTGATGGAAGGAAAGAATTCAGAGTAGCTTGAAGTGTGGAGAGAGACATACATTCTTCAAATCACTTCACATGAATCTTAATTCTCTAAGCTGGCAATTGAAAGAAGTTGAGAAACTGACTTTTTGAGGCTGTGTTCTCTGCAGATGGCCTAGAGTGTTCCTATTCTGAGTTGTTGCTTAAAAATGGACTCACGGGTTACAGGTACTAATCAAGTAAAGGTTATCAAGTAAGGTTGAGTCCTAGTATGGAAATTAAGGAGCTTATTATAGATTTTGACCTCAGTGGTAGAGAGAGCATACCATCTGTACCTAAAGGTAAACTCAGGAATTCCTAGAGCAGAGTCAGCATTTCCCTCAAGAATTGGCTTTGGGTTCATTCTGGCAAAAGAACACCTACTGGATTGAGTCCCTGAAGTCCTACCCTAAGAGTAGTATCAGGATGATTTTTTTCCTAAAGACTTCTAAAGAGGCACCTACCACAGCCACAGGAAGAAACTTGGTGATGTGACCTTGAACCATGTGATTTTGAACAATGTATCTTCTTGGGGTATTTGACAAAGAAAGTGGTTTTTGTCATTCAGTATAATTCTTGAGATTAAAAATGGAAGCAGAAATAACCTTCATCAGGTGTTGGGCAGGTGTGGTGGGGGAAGAAGGGATCGGTGTATTCACACCTAATGGATGTGTACTATCTGGGGGATGGGCATGCTTGTGGCTCTGACTTGGGCAGTACAAAGGTAATATCTGTAACCAGTTTGTACCCCTGCAATATTCTGAAATTTAAAAACAAGGGAAGCAATATGAATAAGGTTTCCTTTTCATTATATGATACATGTAAATCAAGGGAAAAAATACCCTAAACCTTGCCATACCATACCATCAACACTATTTTTCTGGTTTCAATTCTAGTCCATGTTGGTACAAATAATATTCCACTATGGAAAAGACTTTTCCAAGGGACTTAAGAGGTCAGCTTAGATATTAACTCAATATCTAGTGGGTTTCTGAAGAACATATACAGAAAGGAAAACTACCACTTGTGCCTCCACACATGGAAGGCTTTAAATGAAGGCTGCAGATAGATGGAATGAAAAAATAAATGCATGTGTATATGAATGAACTGGTCTCTGAAGCATAGGGGAGAGTATTGGTGACTTTATTCTGGAGTACAACTGTCTAAGAAAGAAATATGAATACATATATTCCCGGCTCAGCAAGCAGGATTTGCCTCTAATTCTAAGACTTGTTCTCTACTGTGACTACAGAGAGATGATCTATTTCCATGCCCTTTTCGGGGGGTAGGGAGGGAATATAAAAATAACATGACTATTGTAGGAAATGTTAAAAACATATAAAGGAAAACAGATTTAAAACATTGCTTTAAATTTGATTCAGGTATTTGTAGCAGATCATGACCATACTTAATATATTTTCTATTCCTGTATAATGGCATTATTCCATAATATAATGGAATAAATATATTAATAAATTAATATATAAATAAAAATATTCCTAAAATATATTCCTAGATATTGTAAATAACTGATTTGGTTCTCAGCTTAATCATTATAGGTATACAGAATTCCCACTGATTTTTGTACATTGATTGATTTTGTTATCCTGAAACTTTACTGAATTCATTTATCAAATCTAAGAGTTTTTTGGCAGAGTCTGTAGAGATTTCTAGATATAAGATCATATCATCTGCAATCAGAGATAATTTGACTTCCTCTGTTCCAGTTTGGATTCCTTTTATTTCTTACTAGGATTTTCAGCACCATGTTGAATAGGGGTGATGAAAATGAGCCTCTTTGTCTTGTTCCAGTTTGTAGAGGGAATGCTTTGAACTTTTCCCCATTCAGTATGATGATAACTGTGGGTTTGTTGTATATGACCTTTATTATTTTGAAGTACTGTGTTTCCCC